CTTGTGCACGGGCCTTGATAAGCTCTTGTGCGAGCTCGCTCATAGCGTAAAGATTCTAAAAGCAGCACTGTCACTTTGATCGCAGACTCGACAAACACTGCCAGCACGGACCTCGCTATACGTATGCGACTGTCCATCACGAACAGTCTTCGCCTTCATAGCTAGGTGGTAAAGCAGGGACACATTATCAGAAGATGCTATTAAATCCAGATAAAATTCAATGTATCTATGCAAAACGTCAGCATCTCCACATACTCACATAGGTGTCACAGGGAACACAGCGTACTTGGCCATTTCTTGTAAATTTTCATGCGCAGTCGAAAAATCGGGGTGATGTGCGAGAAGATGAAGCAAGCGGATGAATATGATTTCGAACAGATCGACTTTGAGTGCTATAGGGAGACAGGTCCGTCAATGACGCTCGAGGTGTATTATTGCCAGAACTCACCTGCGGGCAGGTTTCGTGATGCGTGTGTAACGTAGGAGATGGCCTGCAACGGCGTCAGACACAGGTACGATAATACATAAAACAGCACTAACCCGGCTCTTTACGTCCGCCTCAGGATCATGCACTGTCAAAAAGGGTATAAGGTTGTATTGCGCGGGAAGTTTGCGTGCAGTAAGGAGGGGGAAAATCTTCATCAGGAATTCCATGCGAACATTGTAGCATGGGTCCTACATCAGATCAGCTTATGCGCACTTATGGAGGCAGCTCAAACCTACCTGCACAGTAATGGCTAGCGAGATGAAATTTGTGTTGATAGCAGTCACGAATTTGTCAACTACTGACAGATGCAAAAGTGATATCGCAGCCTGTAACCGCATGCGCGACTTGACCTTTGGGCTGTTGGCGAGAAACCGTAGAGTCAGTAAAGGGTACCCTAATAAAGACACACGACACTGACTCATCCGTTGCATCTGCCGAGTACGAACCAGCATGATCAAGCAGAGTTGACAGCATCTTCAAGACGGGAGTGGCAACTTCAAGAGCTGTGTCTGTAGACGCATGCGCAAGACATCGATTACGGCACACTTTGAGAGCCAATATTCGAGCGCGGAGCCTGGGTGGTACGTCGTCGTCCTCCACCCAATCGGCGTCTGAATCCATCTCATCCTATAACACCACATATGAGTAAATTATCGTCTGTCAGGCCGACAGGATGGTAGCACCACGTACAGGATCTGCTGGACTAGGTACCATAAGCAACTTTTTGACGAGAAAGGCCATCAAGACGTCGCTCTTGCGCTCAAATGCATCGGGGGCTAGTCGAGCGAATTGAGCTAGGACAGCAGTGTGTGCAACAAGTAGATCGGGCTCTGCTGTTGACAACTTCTTCGCTATTGACTAAGGGGCCTAGGATGAACGCTCAGTCCGAATCAAAACCAACATGCTCACCATCACAGCTTCGGCGCACAGATCATCATGTTCCTTGGAGGCTACCAATATTCGAGCAGCAAACTTTGCCACACGAGCGTTTGAGCCCAAAACATAGCGCATCACGCGCTCCAGCGTCCGTCTGTCCAATATCAAGCACCATAATGGGCAGATTACCAATGGACCACTCACTTATCGTTAACCGCTAATGCTTCATCACTCCGTGAAACTGCAGCGAGTGCCTGCATACCAACTTCCACGAGGCGTGGGTTCTTTTCGTCAGCGATGGCCTTCGTCAGTTCGCTGATGTGTGGCTTGTACAGAGCAGGGCAGTGTTTTGAGATGTACGTCAAGAGCGTCTGAGCATGCTTTGAGTCTGCTCTCTGCACACGCTTGATCAGGGTTGGAATAGATGACTGATTAACAATGCGAAGCGTTGCCCGTCGAAGGAACACGGTCATTGTACCTAGAATCGATTCCGAGCCCTGCTCAATCCGACGAAGGAACTCATTCTTCATGCGGAGTGAGTACGGAGCCGATATTTCAGTATGACAAATACTCACGGACGCTTTCACGAGTCCTTTGAGATCTGTCTGGGTATCCAAGCATGTCTTGAGTAGCTTGTATAACCTATTTTCGTTCGCCCTTGCAAATGCATGCAGGTCCTCTGCTGCTTTCTGAGGATCCCCAAATTGCCCTGCAACAAGATCAAATCTATGGTGACGAAAATAAAGTAACGAAGCTTACGGGAAATATGGCGAATGACGTTGTTGAGTCGTTGTTTGACAACGTCCTCATCCTCGTCGATAATGCCGCCCTAATGCAAGTGTAAGACGGAGATCAGGCCCGCTATAGCCAAGGTCGGAACTCACGTTGTGTTGTACACAACTCTGCAGATATAACTCGTACGGCGAAGGCCTGCTGCCCTTGATACAACTGAGGAGGAGCACAGCATTAACCCCCCGATCATCGAGGTAGCTCATTGTGTTCAGCAGCTGATCGGTCCATGCGACCTCGTCTACATCAACGCTCTTTGATGTCGACGCTGAGGAAACAGAAGGGAGCGGGAATACGAAGTCTGCAATAACTTGCTCTGCTGCAAGCCTGCAACACACAATATAAACAAGAAATACAGTGGACAAGCAGGAAACGTACTTTGCCTCCTGTGTGGAATTGGAGATATGGAGAATCTCGTTTGGAATCCAGGAGAAGTGTCTGATCGCGGCCGGATCGTTATTCTCGCTGTCGGTGGGTCAGGGACTCGATAAACAGTGAAAAAGCGAACTCATACATCTCGGAATATGCAGTGCTGTAGAGTTTGCCGAGGCTGTTTAGTGCTTCTACTCGTACTGAATTCTGGAACGCTGCTCGATTAAATTACCAGAACCGATGCGTGCTACACACCTTTTTGTCCATGCCACGACCAGCAATTGAACGTAGCTGGTCCTCGGAAACATAGTGCAATACAGTTTCATAGTCCAACTGCGAATACACTTTGCAGACCGCCGCACGCACTTTTTCGTCGGGATCGAGCAATTTGAGCCTCATTAGCTCTGCTGCGAGTTAGCACAGATACTACGACAACGGGGAGGGGCCTCACCATCCACAGTTTCTCGGTGATCGTGCAAATTCACCAGAAGACCTTTAGCACTCTCTACGAGCTTCAACCGCACTGCTGCAGCCTTGTCGTTCTTCCGCATCAACCACACATTCCACGTTGTGGGGTATTTCTTAACGAGCTCTGCCCCGCCCTTCTCCGAAAACATCTCACCGAGTGCCTGCGTCGCAATCAAACGCACTTGCACCTCCTCCACACGAAGCTCCTCTTCGAGTTGCGGGATAACGCTGTGTAGCAAAGATGGACAAGACCTGCTTAGTTGCTTCACGAGTTCGTGGGCCTTCCGTATCTCCTCGAAGTTGGACTCGGAGTCTGATTCATGGGAGTTCGCAACGATGATGTCCGTGAAATATTGGCAAACGTGCCGCTGGAGCTTGTCCGCAGTGGCATTACAGATTTGAACGGCAAGGCGATACGCAGGTTGCTGAGGAAATGGAAGGTTAGCGAAACTTGGAATGAGATGAGGGGTGTAACGCTTACCGCGTCGTTGGCCATGAACTGTGCCATTATAGTCTCCAATACCTCGGATGGAAGCGCTTGACACTCATCGAGGAGCGCGACGAGGATATCGGCAATAAAAATTTCGATCTTCTTTGCAAGGTCTCGTCGTACCAGGCCGAAAAAATCGCGAAATATGTCGACCATAAGCTCCTCGGCATGTGGGAGATCGCAAACGAGGACAACGCTCTTCACCGTCGATAGGGATTCAAGGAGGTGGAAGTATTCATTGTAGTATGATGCCTCTGCGCCTCTCAAGCCGGTTGCTAGTTGTCTGAAGAAGAACTGGAAGATGTCCCTGAGCTCGGTATGGGTATAAGGGGCGTCGGGCGCGTATAGTCTGAGGATGTCGGCGAGACAGCATGCTGCGTATGCCTTGACGCCTCTGTCCTTGTGTAGTAGAATGGAGGTGTTTACAAGCTGGGTGCGCACGGAGGATAGTGAATTCACGTCGACGAGCTCCTGGTCGAGTCCGGCAAGCTCGGTGTGGAGAGCTTTGAGTTTCTTGAGGAGCGCGTCTGTTGCAAGGCCTTTTCCTACAATTTTTTCGCTGAAAGCAAGTCGCTTTGGTGCAGAGTTCCCTGCACGCGTCTGAGCCACCATTTGCTCGACGACGGTGAGACTTGTATCTTGTAACTTGAAAAGGTGACAACAGACTCATAGGCTCAAAGCGCGTCCTCGTGCTAGGGCCAGCGTTCATTATGTAAGCGGATGTCCCTTTCTCTGATTGGACCTTGAGGCTAACGTTGAACGTTGGAGTTCTATGTCCTGCACAAATTATCTTTTGGGCCAATCCGAATCTGTACATGAGGCCACTTTGCAGATTGGAATCAAGATTCAACTACAAAGGTCAACCAACCGAGCGAGCGTGGGTGACTGACCACTGCTGCATCTTCAAGTTGAACATTCAATGCAGTGCACGACGTAAAACAGTTCTTCACATGCAAGGCTACTCCTATCCAAATATCGTGGTCTCGTACCCACGTGCCCTTTGGCCTACTGCGGCTGCGGCACTAACAGCAGTATGCGATGTCGGGGCAGACGCCATCAAGGCGAACCATTCTGGATGACATGCGTTGGCTTTGCCCAGCCCATAATGCGCAATTTCTCCACCGTACGTTATTCTATCGGACTTGCTGTTTCTTCCGGCTTTCTCATCGTCGTTGCAGTGTTAAGCACCGTGGACCATAAGAATGGGAGGCGAATATGCAACATGGGAGTCACTATTCTGGTTGCGCATGACACAGCTCCACCGCGTGTCAGTGGACACTGGACACTGAGTGCTATTTGATTTGCTTGGCCTCAATACAAGGTGCGCTACTACCAACCAGGTACTTGGACTCGGAAGAGTCATGCGGTCCGCCTATCTTCTGCTCTGCTGTGTACAGAACTCAGACATTCTTCCAGCGAAGGGAATGCATGGCGTGCATGGTACTGGCAGTCTTGACTTTGGGATGCAGTCATGAAGAATTGCCTTAACAACAGAGAACCTTCTGGTGCGTTGCCACTTTATTATCGGATGGTGGAAAGAGACATCTTCGGCGATATGATTAATTTACAGGACGAGCATTACTGATGGTAGGCCGTGATACTACACCCTCAAGCTCTGCTCTCGAGATGCTTTTATCGCCGTGACATACTTGCCAATGCAGTTGAACGTGATTCCTACACCCTTTCGCCAGGCTTAGTGAAACAATGTACATTGATGGGTTCATCTTCCGGAGTTGGTAGAGGCGCTTCTCCCTTGTATTCAAATTGGAGCGCCTTGTATACCGCAACCTGTAGCGCGCGATGAGCAAGTTTTTAGCAATCCCTCAAATCACGCACATTCTCATCTGTATCTGTGCAGAGCGCAAGGATCGACGTCGACATTGCCTGCAAATGTAATGGAATCAGGCATATATAACAAACAGTCGGAACGCCGCACCTCCTGTTCCACCATTTTGATCAAGTTTGTGGCGATTCCTTGGCGTTGATACTTCGGATCGACGCAAATACAATTTAGGTACCAGCAGTTCTCTATGGTCTGAAAAAAAATCAAAGAACAATTCAGACGACAAGATTGGACATACATGAGGAGACAACGCCGTTTTGACAAAAGGGGCTAGTGCAGAACCATACTTTGATAGAGACGCGGTCAACGATAAGATCAAGTAAGTATCTGCACGGCTTACCGTATTGATCCACCAATCTCTGGTCTTGGGTGACAGAGACTCCAAAAACTGGTTTAGGCCGAGATTCCTCTGCGCATCACTTCTAACGGTGAGCGAAGTTATGCAGTCAGTAATAGTAGCAACTGACTTTTCCCAAAGAACTTGTCCTGGAGGAAACCAGAGAGCTAATCCAGCAATGGCTCCTGTAGCAATAATTGTTGCTATGTATACTTTTCCAGCTAGTTGGCAGGCCCTGATCATCGCGCGGAACAATGGCCCCTCGAGACTCTTGTTTCCACCAGTCATGACATTGATAGATGGAGCTAGATTTGAAGACATCACGACTACACTGTCGATAGTATGAAGGCTGTCTTACACGCGACATAACCTCTAATACACATCATGACTGACTCGTCCAACTGGGATTCTGTGATGTCCGTGAGCCTATGTGACGAGCGATGACTATGGTATATCCTTGATACCTGTTAGCTGGTCAACGATAGACAGCTTATACGGAAAGTCGTTCATAGCGCTTGATGGTATGTAGCACAATAAGAGATGGTTTCGCCTGCTCGAGGGCTCCAACCTTATAAGATGGGCACGTAGAGCACCACATAAGGACAAACTGCTCCACCAATTTGGCGCGAGACGGTGAAACCTTCGGGTGTTATCTCATCATGATCTCTTCTAGTAAAATGTTGAAACGCATCATACAAATGCACGTAAATGTACCAAATCTGATGCAAGAAGCACGCGTGCCATACCATATCGTGTAGTCCACGCGATAGTGATCACAAGTGCGCAGTCTTCCTGATCGTAGTAGGTCCCAATGACATAAGTAGTGCTTCTAGCATCAGAAATACAAGACAAGGCTATGTCTTGATGCACACTGGCTGGTGATGACGACCTCCTTCCAGTTTCATAGAGATATGATCAGTGTTCCCAGTCAGAACTCGGTCTGCTTGGACAAGTTTTAGATCTCACTACATGTTAGTCACCTCGGATCCGCTGGGGGCGGTGTAAATCTGAAATAATCCCAAATCACGTTCGCATGACGCCTATAAATACAGAAGGGGTGCATATTATATTAACCACTTATGCGCTGGCCTTCTAATAAAATCCACATTTTGATCCAAGAGGTGGGGCTAGTTCATGTCTGACCTCACGCAGGTAACCCTAGTTAAATTGTTTGACTCTGATACATGTATAATCCTGCCAGTAAGACTGGTCAGAACGCCGAAAACAATGGTAGAGACAATGACCCCACCTGAAGGCCCCAGATCCTTGCCTGTGATATTCACAAAACAACCAGGACTAGAGCAGGACACTGCAAATGTCTGGTACGACTGCGATTTACACTTGAAGCCTGGCATACGATACGTCTTCCCGTATGACGCATTCATGTGGCCAATGTGTACCCTCGGTCGAGGAAGTTTCGCCCATGACAAGTTGTATAGGTCCAACTTATGTCTAGCTGGTAGAGACCAGACGTCGAGAATTACAGAATCGTCAAGATCCGTGGATAGAAGATCTCCCGTGCTGTTTCGTGGAGGGACAGTAAGTGAGAGACTGCAATTCTCCATGCCAAAATCAAGTACGCGAAACTGTGCGATGCTCTCGACCTAGATACAATTCAGTGATTTGATTAAATTCTTTATAGACGGCATACTTCGTGTGTCACTATCAACCATTGCTCGAATATGGGAGCTGTGTATTCTCCCACCGACTTAAAGGGCTGAAACGGAGGGAAGACTTTCTGATGCTCCGTATTGGACACTTGAGCGATTACTGGTACATTATTGATGATCGGATCGTGGGTAGAATTGTTGAGATTAGAATCCTTGTAGAGGATATCGAGGTTGAGGTATGGGTTCTGGAACGGGAGTAGCTCAAACTCGTCTGAAGTTGAAGTGGGGCGAAGGTCGATTCGAGGAAATCGGTCCCATGCAACCATAGAAAAATCTAAGACAGTGCATACAATCGTGATCGCAAGGAGCCAGACGGACAACGTCTGGTTGTGGTTTGTTCTCCCTGGTAAATCTTCGAGATCTGAGTTTTTCAGCATGCTTTCAATGGGATACATAAACAAATTTTGTCACCTTCATCGCTGAGATGAGTGTCCTGGTGGAGAGCTTGATACCCTTCTCTGGAATTAGAAAATCCGGGCGGCATGGATCGATATTGAGCGAGCGAGACTTAGATGTCTAGGCAACTGAGTGAGCTTGACGTTGATCTGCTCTCGAGAAATAAATGGTACTTGTCTACATAAGAAAGTATCCAAACGCACTATAATACTAGGCAGTGCCGCCGTGATCGGCGTGGACGACTTTAGGTCAAATCTGATTCCGCAGCATGGCGGAGTTGAATCATGAGATGAGATGAGATGACACATAGACTCACATAGATAGACCGTAAATATTGCGAACACTGCCAATAACTGATCGATGCTGATGAAATATTTTAAATAAATCTTGCATCCAAACGAGAACAAGGAAAGTCTGTGACAATAGATAAAGCAAGAAGTAAGCTGAGGACTTGTTTGTCAGGACGCAACGATGCATAACAACTCGAGAATCCAGCTCCAGATTGTCACTATCTTGATTATCATAAAAATCAGCATGATACTCATTTTCTGCAGCCTTCAGGTGGATGAAAAACCGGTCCACAGAGTATATTGTAAGCGGCGAACCTGCAGCAGAACACAAATGTGAATCACGGACTCACCTTTTCATCACAGCGTTTGACGGCGACGATTTCCCTCAACTGTTGCCCCTCCCCCAGACTGATCCAGTCCTTATGGCCTTCGAAGATTCAGTACATTATCAGATGAACACTGAAGATGGGAGGGCGGAGTGGGCCAGCCTAACGCCGGGTAGTGGGCTTGTTTATCTGGGGGAGCAGCATCACCCATTCTCGATCTCGATGTTCCACCAATTGCGTTGCCTCGATATCCTACGAGAAGATCTTGTTGGAGCAAATGGAAACGCAGATCTGAGTCGTCACTGCCTCAACTACTTGCGCCAGATGGTGATGTGCCGCGGCGACACTCAGCTGGAAAACATACTTATAGCAAGCAAAGAACATCCATCCCAAGATTTTTTTGTGCGGACTGGGTCATATGTGTGTAGCAATTGGAATTCGGTGCTGGAGGAAGTGAAGAAGAACCAGGCTGCAGCTGCCAAGGTCGCGGGGTGATAGAGGTATGAGCATCCTTACTCTTGAGAGGCAGACTCCGGACTTAGTCTCAAAACAGAGGGACAAGGTAGTTCGGTGCCCGAGTTTTCAATCGTCCCAATCTAGAATCATCGCTGTCATCGCTGTCGATAGTCTACTAGCTTCATCTTTGTGAAGTAGAATGTTCAGCCGATACTATTTTTAATGAGGATACTCATCTACTTCTCATATTTTCCGTCTTGATGTCATAAGTGACATATGTGAGGGTATTCGCCTGGCCCTTGGGCCCTCGCCGATCAAACTGCACCGACGTACAGTACCAGCCTGAGTGCAGTGCGTGTGTATGGTGTGTTTTCTATCGGGTTACAACTTAATTACCGTTATGCGGAACCACGACTCGTTTGTTCTTATTTGGCAGCGCAAGTTCAAATATGTATTTTTATTATAACTCCTGTCCGCCTTCAAATCTAACAGTTCGGTCTTTGCAGCAGTGCCGCCCACCGCTCAGCGCTGATTGATCACTGATCATGATTCCAAGACTAGCCTATTTTTGTGCGTCGAGTATCCAGTGAGTATTTTCAAGTCGACCTGCGACGCAAGCTTACTGGATTCGCCTATATTTTTGCTTCCATCATTGTGCTGCAGTATCGCCCGATGATCACTGAGCGCTGATTGATCGTATAACGATACCAACTCTGAGAAGCAGGTTTCGTATGTGCGGTGAGCATTTGGCGACTATTTTTAAGTCCGCTGCGCAAGCTTACTCCACAATTTGAATTCATGTGCAGCACGAGTCGCTGTGATCCAATGCGTCTCTATTAACCTGATATATGTTGTTGTTGATCGATATCCACCATCATTGGGTGGACTTGCCGCTGGCCCTGTGTCGGCGGTATTCCCCCTGCCATAAGTCTTCTCAGCAATATTGCTGGTATCAAACTCTCAAGGTGGTGCTTCGTCCTGATAGTCCTACAATCATCCTACAGCGCCCTTTTCTGAGTCCCTCATGGCGTCCACCGAACTAGCTACGGAGCGTGCTCTGTATATTGTGAATACCATTGGCTACGTCATTTATGGTCAGTTTCTATCCCTATGAGTAGTGATCTCTTGTTGACAGCACGTCCTCCGGGCACAGGAGGAATCCTATTTCTATATGCCTATTCTACCTACCGGACTATGGCCTCAAGGCGTCCAATGCCGCGCAGGCTATTCTACATAAGTTTTGGAGGCCTTCTCGTGATCCTTTTGACAGTCAGCGGCCCAACTAATGCCGTCTTCTGCGAATCAATGTGGATAGACCCTGGTGGGTCCCCTGCATTCTTTGCTGCCAACTTGGCTGATTGGTACAATGTATTTGGCACAGTGACAGACTCTGCCGCAAATATTCTGATAGACGGACTCACAGTGAGTATGCAACATACATAGTTATTCCACACTGATGTTGATACATTGCGGAAGCTTTATCGTTGTTCCATCATTTGGGGCTCAAGGTTGCAAATAATTCTTTTATTTTTCATCTTCTTCTTCTTGTTTATTGTCCGTTAGGGCGAGGCCCTATAGTAGACAGTATGTACTGTAAATAACGTGTCCGGGATGTTTGTTGTACACATGATGATAACTGTAGTAATGGTTCAGGCTGGGTACGAGAAATTTGACGCCAACTTTTTTTTTTTTTTTTAAGTCAATTTTATTGTCCTTTGAGGTCGTTGACCTTATGTCGGACATAGCCCTTTATGTGGGGGGCTTACTCCCGCTTATTCCATCAGTAAAATACCACGGTTCTTAAATCAACTTAATGAGCTTAAATTTGTGGCCAAGTCAAAATAAGACAGTCTTTTTCAAAGACCTTCATCTTAACATAAGTTTCTTGTCTTACATTGACACATGACTTAATAGCACTTGAATTTATACAGTAAGACAAATTAAGAACTAAGTTTGCAAAGCAAATAAGATGCAATCAGAGAGTCAAGACAGATGATAAAAAATCAAATAGGAGACGGGGAGCATGGGTAAGTAGAGTGCAGAATGAAAGCATAAAACATGTATATTACCAGCGCCAAACGACGTCACCTTCAACGGAATGCAAATAGGTCAGTGAACACGTCATCCTCGTCAGGCGCGTCACTGGTGGTAGTCCTCGAGTTCCCGATACTTTTCGCGTGCTTGGCATACTGTTGTGCCTCCGCAATAATGCTCGCAAAGGCATCGTCGGAAAGCGCCACGATGGGGCCCATGAGTTTGATGGTCATGTGCCCCCAGATAGGTTTGCTGAAAGCAAACTGCTCGCCCTTCGCGATGATGGGGGTCCAGATATCGCCGCCGTCGGTCTTCGCACCTTTGCGTTTGCTGCGGGATTCTTGAATGACTTCGAAGGTGAGGTTCCCATCAATGATGAGCTGAAGAGTACGATAAACCTGAAAATATTATTTTTAGACAACGAATGGCAGAAATAGAATGACTTACAGCAGTAACAGCGAGGGCAAATGCAGCCCGCGCACTAATGCTCTCGGTGTCAAGGTCGGGGACTTCAACACGGCCGAAGGTGAAATTGAGGTGTGATGCGAATGTCTGAAGTACGAAGGGGGATCTCCACATACCCGTCCAGTCCTTTGAACAAATAATTAGATGGTTTCATAGTAATTATTATAGCCACTTACCTTGGGAACGAGTCCTGAATTATCCCTGAAAATGAACCGGTTATGCTTCAGCATGGCCCTTGAAAAGTCCTCGCGAGCCGCAGGATCCAAAAAATCAGCGTCCTGTGCAAAAAATGCGGTGAGGATGGAGCAAGCTGCGATACCGAACCCTCCACAGCCATTCCATAAGGCGTTGTTTGGCCTACAAATGTTAGTTAACTTCTGAATGACCCAAAAACAACTATGGACTTACCACTTTTAAAACGGCACCAGATCTGGAGATCTCATGCTGAATCTTACCCCGGTATATGTAGTTCCAGATCTCCTGCATGGCGTCCCTTAAATCTTCGTCTTCAGGACCCCAAGGCTCAACTTCTCCACCAGCCCAGTGTGCGACAGTTGGTATGAACACCCGGCGCCAGGTATTACCATCCTGGCATCCCTCAGGAAGGTCATCATTCTGGTACCGGTGATTGGCGCCACTGCCATTGTGGCGTGACGTGACACTCTTGCTCTGTGGCTCTGTCTTTGCTTCGTTTCGAAGGGGGGGGCTGGCTATTGATGCTGACGCCGGTCTATGTTTAGCGGAGAGAAAATGAGAAGGGTATCACAAAATAAGTACCGGCTTACTGAAGTTGTCAGGCGTTTGGTGCCTTTTGCTGACACAGGGGCAGGAGGCGGTGATGTGTCCTCACTCTCGCCAAAGTCAATGTCCAGTTGACAAGTCAGTAACAGGGCTCAGTCGGGATGAACCTGGCGGTGGCTCTGGATGGTTGCGTAGAAGGGGGGGCACGAGGAGGGGGGGAGGAGAAGGACTCGGTCCTTGCCATTATTGGTGAGCGTTTCTTTGGTCGCGATGGAGGCGGTGATAAACTGTTATCACTGACTTCCAATATATCCTGAGTGGGGAGTGAGTGCTGCAAATGCACAAAAAATAAAAGAAATACCGCAGAAGTTGTATGCCTGGCACCAGGCTTTTTGGTAGCCTTGAAAGCAGCCTCACGCTCAAGTGAATTGTCCTCGTCCAGAAACACTGTGGTAGGTTCTTCAAGATTGCCTTGAACATTGTTTGTGGGGTGCGGGCTGCCAGTGGGATTAGCGCTGGCACTAGTCAATTTTGAGATCTTTGAAACGGCAGTCGAGGTGGTGACTGAGGACACGCGTCTGTGTGATTCAGTGCGAAGATTTTCAAGTTGAGGGCGGAGCAACTTGCTTGTTGCAAGTTTCTCAGCCCAGTCCTTTGTTTTTCCCATCCCCGCATAGTCATCCTTGGCTGTGCAGACATCCGCACTGAATCGATTGAGGTGATCGAGATGAAAAAGAGTCGTTTCGGTGAGTAACAACATGGCAGATGGGAACAATAATCGACTTACACTCCTTTCTTGCCTTTCTGGTCACCACGTGCCGTTGGATCAGCCTGATCTGATATATCGACCTTCGAATTCTGATTGTGAGTCATGTTGATGCCTGTATTATTAACATTTCGCTCAGCATGGACAGCCTCACGATATGCTGTCTTCTGGACACGCTTATTCCTCGGCTGCACCTCTTCATTCTCCTCCTCACTGGATACACCATAGTCAGTCTCTGTGTACGGCAAGTCTCCTGGAACCTTACCTTGGTTGAAAGTCCTTATCGCCATCATTATCGCCTGCAGCAACGTCCTCCATTTCGACATCCCCCATCTCAGCTGCTTCTACAATCTCCTCGTCATCCTCAATGTTCAGCTGGCTCACCTTCGACTTCGACACAGGACGCGCCCGAGGCTGAGGCTTTGGCGCATGCAAAAGGATCTTCAAGTCCTTCAACGCCTTCTTGTCTTCAATAGACGCAATCTTCTTGGTGGTGCATTGATCAGCGGCTTCTTTCTCCTGCCGCTCATGCTTGGCTTGGTCATTGTCTTCCTGGATTTGACGAGCGGTGCACCTTTTCCTCTTGTTTTGGAGGAGGATCTCACCAGGATGCTGGTTCGCATTTTTAGGACGAGTGTTTGGGCGCACCATTGTTTGAACGGTCGGGCTTGTGGAGGAGAAAATTTGGTGTAAGGTTGAGCGGTCACTATGGACTTTGAAACTCTAAGTTACGTGTCGCGCACCCTGTTTTGTATGTATTACATTACATTCTCCCTAGTGTGTTTGCTAATGGTTTGCACTTTTCAGTTAGCCTCCCATCCATCATGCCAGACGAGATCCCTCATGCGCAGCTCAAACGACGGGCGTTTAGTGCCCACCGCTGTAGAGAGCAATATCTCTACAGGCTCGTATCCCCCTATTTCCACATCGACCTCATCACTATCCATAGGTAGACGCACACCCAGTATACGCGACCACCTGCGCTTTCGCGCACTTCATGTGCGAGTCGCGCGCATAGATACCTACTGGCGCCCTACTCGGATTACCCTCATATGTCATGTCCTGTCTGTCCGGCTCCGCTGGTGCGTGTTCTCACTGTTATATCCGTCGCTGACCACATCCAGGGTCCTTTACATACCGACTTATCCATATCCACTTACCTATCCGCTTCCGCGCTCCCTATCCGCTTCCCTATGCGCTTCCACGCAGCCTATCCGCTTCCTTTACGGTTCCGCACCCTGAGAGTGCGCGTAGTGACCTACATATCTAGAGGACTTGGAGGATTTTCGGACTTACTTACCTTCTGTGACTTGGACTTACTATCTGTTTTTGCTGTCGAGTTGCGCATAGAGCACTAATATCATCACCGCCCCTGTTTATCATCTCTTTTGTCTTCTAAAGTCTCGCCTATCAATTCCGAGGAGGATCCTTATTGATTTCAGTCGCTGACTATATATCTCGCGCACATCGCGCGCTTTCCGACTCTTCCTTATATCCCGCGCATCCCGCGCGTCGGTCGCATCGGCTTCGCGCATCTTCGCGCGCCTTCGCATATCTTCGGCATCAGCTATTCTCTCGATCCCTCTCATTATTAGAGATATTGCCTCGGTAGAATCCCCTAAGGGACGAATCTACTAGCTCGCCTCTCGAGGTAGATATCCTTGTGACCCCCCGGAGTTCGCATCACTATTTTCCTCACCCACACCGGTCTGGCTAAAATCTCGTTTCCGCAGTGATTGTGCTGACGCATGCACCCAACTTAGGGTTCAGGACGGAAGTTGGTTGCACTAATTGGTTTTTCCACCAATCACACCAATCACGAGCCAGGACATAATTAGCTCTACTATTACTAGGGCACTGGCAGAACATGGTTCACAAGCCAAGAATCAAGTTTTTTGACATTTTTTTCTTGGTTTGGTTCTTGGTTTGAACCCTTGCTGAACTGGAACCAGACCATTATTGGACCAAACTGATGGTCTGGTCCACAGTTCTGTTTACTGAGAGGACCAAACCATAGGTTCAGTTCTTGGTTCTCTGAATTTCCGAGAGAACCGGACCAAACCGGACTTTTCCATCACTACTGGCAAGTTGAAGTCTTGAACATGTGATGATGCGCTGCCTACTGGATAGGTGCACAACACCTCAGACCATCTTTCCAGCCTTTATTGTTGACATGTTTTGATCTTAGCAACCATAGATGGAGGCTCTCTTTTTCCAACCCCTTCAAAAACTTCAACTCAAATTGCATGGATGTCCGCTTTATTGTCAATGTGTCTGAACCTGAGCTCACTGATTTCATCTTTTCCCTTGCATGGGCTCTTCGTGAGCCTGATTTTCCTGTGATCCGCATTCTGCTTATGAGTTGCTTGGGATCGCATATCTGCAAAGCCTTTTGGAATGAAAAGGTGCACCTGCTGGCGTGTGGGATACCAGTGAACACTTCTGGGGTGGGTGTTGCAACCATCATCTCACTAGACTGTGCTGATGTTGATGATGTCATCTATATACCTTTGCAGTATTCATTCAGCGAGCTGCAATGCTGCCATCCAGATTTCCTGCAGCCATTGGGGAGTGACCTTGCGAAGCTGCCGAGCTGAGCTGGTAGATGTTTCATCATGGCGTCTATGATGATGAAGTTCATTGTCAACAATGGATACAAGGATTCTCACAATTGGTTATAGCTGATGCTTGAACTATCAAGTGAACTGCTAGCAGAAACGGAGGTGTACAAGTTATATCATGACCCATGCACACTGTACATCTCAAACTCCAAATGTTCGTGATTGATATGCAGTTACCACTACCACATCTACAACATATTATGTACCCCATGTATATGCATAGCTCAATGATAGGTGGTTATTATGGGATATCTGTTGGATTTACAAGTTGATTGGCCTAATATGTTATCCCACAGTGCTATGTCTCATTCCTATATGTTTCACTTTACTTATGTTGACAGTCTACATTCCAGTACCTACATGCCAGACATCAGACGTCTAGCTCATACCATGCATGTGGGGCAACAACTTTTCATCCTATCTACCTGCTGCAGTATATAGTTATCTACTATACACATTTCATACCTCAGGTGTTGTCTCTCTCGAGTGCATGACTGAGTGAATTGTCTCTGTATAGGCACACACTGTTGAAGTTACATTTCTATAAGGTTATGAGCCCTGAGCTCTACTGAAAACCCTACCACTTCATGTTTCCCTGCTGAACAAACCACAAGACCCAACTCGCTATGTCTACAACTGTCCCCATCACAACTGATACCCTCCCAAGCAATGTCCCCAAGCTTGACGGCAAAGGAACCAACTGGGCGATCTTTTCGCTCTGTTTCCAGATTGCCATCAAGCGGAAGGAGTTGTGGAAGCAACTCGACAGGACAACCCCACACCCAGTCAGTACACCTACCACTAATCTAAGCGGAACAGTTACTGTATCACTGCCAGACCCTGTTGACCTGGCTAAGTGGCTAAAAGCAAAAATCTCACAAAACACTTACTTGCCCAGCCAATTCCCGACTCTACTGTGCTGTGTGTATGGAACCTTGCTGACATAGATGCCATGTGGACGGAGATTGTGCGTGAATACATCAAGAAGGGTGCTTATGCACAGACAGACCTCCGCACAAAGTTTCTGGAGTTCAATTCCGCTAACAGCACTGACATTCACCAATTCCTAGATGACCTGCATGCTAAATGCAACAAGTTAGCTGCCGAGTTAGCTGCCGTCAGTGTGGTCATTGAAGAGAAGGACTACTGCTCAACAATAATCCAGTCCCTCCAAAACCATCTTGCTAGCTTTATATCCAGTCAACTCGCCACTGCTTGCCTCTATAGCCCAACTCAAACCATTGACTGCACAGGCTTGGCACCAAACCACTCAATTGGTAAAATTCTCTTCATATTTCTTGGAATGAGCACCCAGAAGAAAAGAAGGGATCAAAACGAGTCTATAACAAGTGTATGTAACTCAAGTCTTGTGAGTTGATATTAAGATAATATATACTTTGCCCTGTAAACAAAATTGATAATAAAGTAAAATCTGATTTTTTTTTTAATCAGAAAATCAAATTTTGACCAAAGTCGACATCAACACTCAATGGTCAACAGTCAACAGGTACACCTACCATAATCAATTGACCTGTGAACTGTTGACTGTTGACTGTTGATGTCGACTTCGGTCAAAACTCGATTTGCCGATAAAAAAAATCAGATTTTACTTTATTATCAATTTTGTTTACAGGGCAAAGTATATATTATCTTAATGTTTGATCCAACTGTTTTCCATCAACTGGTATTGTGTTTTTCATTATATATCAGAGAAACAAGAATATGAAAATAGGAAGAACATTTGGTGTTATAAATCAAAAACTATCTAGAATGTGATCCAAATGAAAGTACTATGTTGCTTGCATTCACAGACAAAAATTTCTTAGCTTGATTTCAATTACAAAAGAATCAACAAAGACTGATTACAGTTAAAATTTGCTCAAAATATGAGTTTGCAACTTGTTAAGAATGTGGTCATTATGTGGCCCCATGTAAAAATGACAACAAAATCATGTGACAGAGTAAATGTTATGTCTGGTCAAAATGTGTAGATATTCTGAGTAGAATTTATCTGAAGAAATACAACTCATTTTGATATAAAATAAGGAAAATCTAAGCAAACATTTAATTTTTATTATAATTTTCCGTTGAAACTAAAGGTGACCTAAGTTTGTCTGTGATCACACTGGGTTCAACATTTGACCGGTGGGAAAATTGATCCCTGCCCCCAGTGGAAGTTGATTGAGGTCGCGCATGAAATTGGAGGTGAACTGAGATCCTCGATCAATGATAACCTGTTCCGGAATACCGAAGTCCCGCCACACACAATCCCAATATAATCGTGCTAGCCCTTCAGAGGAGAGTTCTCCGTTAGTCGGCGCAAGTCGTATCATCTTCAATAAACGGTCCACAACAACGAGAATGGCATCATTCCCTTTACTCATGGGGAGCTGAGTTATGAGATCCACCGATACAAACTGCCAATTGTGATCTGGAATTGGGTTAGGTGAGAGTAGACTGAACGGCTTGGCGGGAAAGGTTTTAGTGCGCTGACACTTTTCGCAGCCATTCATGTATCGTGTTACATCTGCATGAATTCGCAGCCACCAGTATGTTCGCAGAACCAGTTCTGCGGTTTTGAGGCGCCCTGGATGGCCTGATACCGGAAGATTGTGGTGATCGTGCATAACACGATCTTGGAGGGACTGATCTTTTGGTACATAGACGCGATTCTTCCATAACTTCAGCCCTCCTTCTTTCCAATCCTTCTCACCTCTCCGAATCGCTTCCCTCACGAATCCTTCGACCCTCTTTGATTCTCGAATCTTTGTCAAAACTTCATCACCTTCCATCTCTACTTCTGTCGGTATCGCCCTAAACCATTCTTCTTTCAACAGAACACGATCTTTGTTATCTCCCTCCCCCTTTGCATGGTCCGCACGTCTCGAGAGGGCATCAGGTTTACCATGGGTGCGTCCTGGCTTATGAACAAGATGGATATCGTACTCAGCGAGTTGCAGAGCCCAACGTGCTTGACGACGGTTGAGTTTCTTCGCCAACATGAAGTACTCCAAATTTTTATGATCAATG